CGGCTTCTAGGCGGGCGGGGCCGCCCGCCCTTTGTTCTTGGGCGCCGGGGAAGCCTTCCTCGCCGGGCGCTCTCGGGGGCTGCCAGGTCTTGGCCGAAGGAGCCGGCGTCGCTTTTCGAGCAGCTTTGCGCGGGCCTGGTGGGACGGGAGCGTAACTAAACGGGAGCACACCGCGTACGGAAAGGTGGGCGTCGGGCAGCACGCTTCGTTTGACGCGGTTTGGGGCCTGAGCCCGAGTCAGACCTGATGAAACCGGCTGATGCGGCCGCTTTGGGGTTTCTGCAGCAACCTCTTCCAAATTTGCCGGTGTTTATTCCCTTTCATCTCCCAGCATTACTGTTGCATCGTTTTGAAGCTCATGAAGGAGGCTATGCCTCGCCGATTCCATGTGGAAATAATTGCACAGTAACTCGCATTGCCTGCAAGGCAGGGGCTTTTGCCCACAAAAGCTATGGTCCAAAGTCTGTCGTGATCTCCTTTCTTTCTGTCATGTGAATGGGAAGAGGGAGCCTTTCTGTTAAGCTGAGTGGGAAAACCAAGAGCTAAAAAAGGTTAGCGTGAAACTAATGTGTTTGAAGAAAAGGAAACCAAAATCTTGAAGAATGCGATGTGAACTTGTGTTTGAGTTTTCCAACGAGCTTGGAAAAGTCTCCTTCTGTTTGACAAAGTGAGTTAAGTACTGGACGACAGGCAGAACAGAAAAGCGGATCTCTCGGTGCAGCATGACCACGTGAAAAAATCAGGCGATTGGTGAAGGTGGGGAGGAATGAGAAATTGTTACTCCCCCTGTCCCCACCCGTTGTTAGTTGTATCAGCATAATAGGCTTCGCGAAGTCCAACCCCATAGGTAACGTCATGGCTTTGGCTCCTTTGGGAATGCTTGCACCGCAGTTTTTCCAGCATACCTTCTGTAGCTCTTCATTTCTCTGTATTTTCATTTGCCTCAGTGTAATCCCCTCATAATAACTTGCTGGGATGAGATGAAGACGACGGATCTTTGAGGAAGGCAACTTAGGAAGAAATGCTTGTTTTTGTTACGTGTCACCTGCGTGGCACCTGTCTCTTTTCGGGGAAGTCCCTTTCGGTTACAAGGCAAGTAAGTTGCACCCGTGTGGTACAGCCATTTGAATAAAGGCTGTAGAGCTGAATGAATGTCCTCTGCAGTTTGACCAAAGGAGGCTGTAACTTCATCAGCAAGCATGGGGAAGTTCGGTTTTGCCCTTTTGTTTTCCTGCTTAGAGTTGCCTCCTGGTGTTAGGAAGCGCAAAATGACCAGGATGGGATATTTGCGCATAATGAGCTGCCTTTGCAACTTTGCGTTCCTTTTCCAGCCTTGGACTGGGAACGTTTTTGTTTTACTGGTGTCAAGTATCCTAGGGCAGAGAATATTTAAAAATATTGTCCGCTGCTCCTTTTGAAAGGATGTACGAAGTCACCTAAGACCGGGTAACGTGGATTTAGAGCACAGACTGTTACAGGTTTTGTAAAGAAGGCCATAGCCGGTACTATACCTGGTCCCTGTACCCCATACGTTGGCCGTGTGGGAATGGTGAATTTCCTGAGAGGCTTTGTTGTCTGTCACTTCTACGAGGTGAGGTGGTTGAGCGTTACTACTTGGAAGAGCAGCATGTCTCAGGGCAAGTTTTGTTCTCATAAGAAATATGTGGAGTCAGCCTCCACAAGTATTGTGCAGGCATGAATGCAGATGGGCTGTCTGCCTTGGATTGTGTACTTCTGCTACCCGGCGGATGTTTTTACCTGCGAAGTTATGTCTTCTGCCTGTTACAGATGGATCAGGGAATTGACTTGTTCCAAACATTACCTTTCTTAATGCTTGTCTCACGTATGTTGTGTCTTCTTATTCTGAGGTGTGTCAGAGACCCCGCTCGTGAAGCTGGGTGTCGCTTTTTGCTGCTGTTTTGGGCAGATTTGGTTCAGTGGACCTGTCTCACTGATGCTCCCCAGCTAGCTTTTATTGTTTTCCTTTTGAAGAAAGAACATTTTTTTTCTCTTTGTTCCGTTGTGTTCAGTCCTTCGCTTTCCCACCTGAAGTTCTCCGCTCCACATGTGACATGACTGCTCACCTCCTCCTTTGCCGTGTTAGATTGACTCACCAAACGTTAGATTGACTTGGAAAGGTTGGCATGGTTTCTCCTTCGTTGCTACTTGTGATAAGTGAAATTGTTCTTTTTAACAGGAATGTAGCAGCACCCAGTCTCTCTTTCCCACCTTAGATCTAGCTGGCTAGCATTAGAAAATGGGAATGGATGTTTGTATCCCCGACACCTTGATGGTGTCAAAGGACAGGGTATTCAAAATTGTTCATTAGTTTTAGGATGAGCTTGTCCTCTGACAGGTTTTCAAGAGACCGAGTGCTCTGTTCCTAGGAGGTTTGTGGAAAAATGGCTCTTTCCACAAAGGTGTGGTTGATCTGCCAGATGCAGGGATAAAGATCAAGTTAACCACCAAACCGTAAGCTGTGCCTGCTTTTGTGAATTTGGCCGTTCCTTCTCTGTTGATTCTTTGTCTTGTAGTATCCTTTAATGGCGTCAATTGCTTGCGCTTAGTTGTCGATGACTGAGAAAATGGGAAGGTGCCCGTTCCAAAATAGGGTAAGAAGTTTTTGTAGAGGGGGAGGAAAAAAAAAAAATAGACTGGCCCCGTTGTTGTGTTCATGTCCCGTTTCTTGCACTGGTTACTTGGAATGAGTTCAGAAACCTTCATCATACTCTAAGAGAGTTAGAAAACAGTCCCTTAAGTATACCAAGGGCAGGAGGAGTCCAGAGTGCGGGCCTGACTGCTCTGAGAGAAGGTAGGACTGATTATGAGTAGTAGTCTAACGATTACTAACCGGGATACGTTCTTGATCTTACGGGAGGAGGTACAAGAAGAGAGGGTGGTGCTGCATAAGGTGGCTGCGGGACTATCTGCCACAGGCTGTTGGAACGGACTCTTTTGTCTGGAGCTAAATGAGGCTAGATTACGTACTGTAAGATTACGCTCTTGATAGTTACACTGGGTAAGATGTGAGAAACTTGATCTGGTGTTTTAACGTGTCAGCTGCTAAAGTTCTTCCTTCTGCCTGCCTCCATCCCTTTCTCCCTCCCTCCTCGTCCCCGCCTTCCCCTGGTTGTGCAAATAGCCAGGTGCAGCATTGAACCTGAGATCTGTATCCTGAAAAAGCGGTCCTTTTTTGCTGCAGAAAACTTCCGAGCGTCAGGATATGCTCAGCTGATTTATTGTACAGAAGCCGAAACCCTGCAGATCCTGCTGGTGTTGAGCCCTCAAAGCCAGCTCTTCCTTTTGTGACTGAAAGTAAGTTCGTTCTGATACAATGCATATTCTATTGAGGGGGACCCACTGCTGTGACGCCTAGCGGCCCCCTGGGGTTGGCTCAGTACAGTGGCTCGCCTAGGGCCACGGCAACCGCTTCTTCTCTTTTCAAGACCTGATGGGAAATTTGAGGGCCGTTCTCTGGGACGGAGCACGCACAGGCAGAGGCCTTCCCTCTTTTGGAGAGAGGACTTGGCAGGGGACCGAACAGAGGGGAGAACAGTTGCAAACTGCCTCCCCCCGTAGAAACGTGCCCTCTCCTTCCGTGCCCCTCTTGTCAGAATGTTGCGGTGGTCAAGTGTCAGCAGTCACCCATATCTGATACGCTGCATTCTTCTGCCATGCGCTGAATTCCTCAGATCCTCACAAAATGACCTGAATTTCTAAGTTCCGGAATTTAGAACTCCTTTAAGGTGAAGATTAGCTGATGGCTGAAATGACATGGAGGCCCCTGGAGGGCCACGCTTCAGTTTCTCCTGCAGTCGCTCCTCGTCTGGAGCACGTCTACTCAGAAAGCGGCATTGCCACAGCGAGTTGCTGGGTCTAAAAGCTGTTCTCTGAAGTGGGGCCCGGTGGTTATTCTGGGGGGCTATGTCTTATGTGGGATTCTGGATAAGATCGGGAGTTACCTGGAGCTGCTTACATCTGTTTAACTGGGAAAAATACTCCATCTCGATCCTTTTCTTCTCCCGCCCCTCAGGCATCCCATTCCTGCCAACGCCCTGCTTTTGAGTCGCAGCGTTCCAGCACTCAGCCCCCGGCCCCAGCCCCGGTCCTGGTAAAATGGGATAAAGTGACTGATCGTGTCTAACTGGGAAAGAGATGACAATGGTCTTTCTGCTAGTGTTTCCTCCTTGAGCCTTGGAATTAAGGCACGGAAATTCTTTCGGCCACGCAGAAGAAATGGCACAGACTTCAATCGGGGATGGAGGTGGAAGGCTTAGTGTGGGCCCTGAATCCCAGTAATGCTCGCAAAGCTGCGGAGATATGTAACTGTTGTTCAAGATAACTATTTATGTAATGATTTCAGTCGCGTCTAAAGTTTGCGATCCACATAGAAAATTACTGCGTTGCAACATTTGGCGTATACTCGCAACTATCCTTTATAATGCAGTTGGTTTTGAGGTATCTCTTTGTCAGGTGATAAAACAACTGAAAATTAGCATTTTGTCTTTTAGCTAGTGCTTCGGTACATGACTTTTTGCAAGATGCGTTCTGCCAAGGAACTCTTCGCTGACTTGTACGAGAACTTTCGCATTACAGCCTGTAGCATCAGGAGACTGTACCAGTAGAAGAAGTAAGACCGTTTTTGTCTCAGTCGTTGCAACTTTGCTAACGTATTGCAAGGCTGAGTAACTTTTCATTGCGTGTCCTGAGGAATTATGTTTTCAAGCGATCTAGGGGGCTGCCAAATGAGAAGAGAGTAGGGACTTAATAATATGAAAGCGCTAACTGTAATTGAAAACTTTTTTTAAGGCAATACTCCTCCGGTCTTCTAAAAGTTCAGTGCGATTAGGTGAAGTCAGCCTCAGGTTGACTACAGTCTTCTCCGTGTAGTCCATGCGCACCTTCCAAAGACCACAGAACGGGAGACTTGTTCTGGGCTGGGTGCGTGTTAGGTTTTTTTGTTTTGTTTTTGCAATGAAGTTGCATAAAGGATAGTCCTGTCGTCTGCCGAGATCTTGAAGGAGAAGCTGCGTCTCCTTTTTTTTGCAGTGCATTGCAGTTTTCAGGTAAACCTCGGTTTAGAACCAATGGCAATTCTGTCTTTGAAAATGCACTAGCCTTGTCATAAAAAGCATTCCCCTGTGGCCACGTGCCCCCCCTCCCCCGCCCCTCCCTCCCCAGTCTACGAAAAGCTTACGAAATTATTCTTGGATCTGGTCGAGGGGAGGGACGTAAGGCCTGATAGCGCTCGTCCCAATTGACGGTAGCTCCTTCCCTGCTCCCAGTCTGACTCCACCCCTGCTCTCCTTTTAAGTCCCAAGGGGAGTCGGGGATAGATTGAGGCTTAGAAGCGAGCGATCTCACTTTCTCCCAGGTAGACTTATTCTTAGCTCCTTTTGCTGTCACATTTTTTTCATTTTAGCTGTATCGACTGACAAAAAGCCATAAGGAAACGCAGCTCTGCAAAGCTGGGTTTAAGAGTGGAGTTAGCGTGGAGGAGGGGATGGTTGTGAGTACGTCAGGCTCTTGGTGCGGATGCAGAACGGTGGAGGGTCTCGGCCCTCAGATTTATAAGCCTGCTTCCACGGGCTTGTTGGTAAGGCTGGGGAAGAACTGTAGATTCCTGTCTTGATTGCTTGTTCAAGAGCTATCTTTACCATCCTCTGGGTGTGCTGTCTCATTTTCCCTTGTGCGTAGTCCCAAGAAAGGGAAAGGAAAATGCCAAAACTGGGGTAGAAGTCTCATGGTTTGCCATAAAAGGATAATAGAGGGATACTAGCGTTCCAGAGTCCTAGTTCTGGAGAAACGCTGTTTGGTCGCTTCCCTCTTGATAGTCTGTTTTCTTCTGTGGTTTTGTTGTTTCTGCATGGCTTGTTTCAGTTTGGTGAATTTTAAAAGAATATGTCCTAGTCTCGTTCAGGTCTAGATTTGCCCACATTTCCTCGTGTTTCCGAATCACGGTGAACGTGAGAATGTAACGCACGTGGTAGGAGCTTTATAGGAGCGCATTCGTGGTTGGAGCACACCAGCATCTGAATTCGGGCGGATTCTGTTAGGAGCGTGATCTGAGGGAGCTGGCAGCGGGCAGATGAGGGTTGGTCTGCCTCCTGGCCGTGTCTCGTTCTCATCCCTGGTACTCGAGAGAGCGGCTTCAGTCACAAGGTGTCGCTTTTTTCTGTAGATCTTTAAATGTTAACAGCTGGTGTTTCTTATTTCCTGTTTGGTTTTCAAGTTACTTGCCTTAAAACGGGGCAAAGACTTGAAAGGAATTGAGTTGCCTGTCAAGCACATGCTACCCTTCTTGTTTTAGTTTTCCTCTGTGTTTTCTCCCTGCCTTGGGGTATATACAGATTCACGCTACCTTGTGCATGTGGTTCATTCTGAGTGGGCTGGGTAACGAGATCTTTTGAAGTTGGCCAGTGCCTCCCAGTTTGGTGAGACTGTGACGTATTGAGAAGAACAGGGCAACAGCTTGCTGATGATGATTATGTACTTGAGTTGTTGGGCAGAGGTTCTGGTTGCGGAGAGGAAGGGCTGATCTGATATTCTTGACTGACCCAGGAGGGTGAACACAGGGCTCTGGTGGAGGAGGCTTGCGAGAAGAAGAAACGGCAGGCGTTACTAGTATGAAGCAGCAGGGAGTGATGCGGCATTGTTTCTCCATTGAGTCTTTCAGTTTTGAAGTTTGGTCACTGGGAGAGCTGCCTCGTGTCTGCGTTGAGAGGAGGGTGCGCGTCCGGACTAGTTTTTGATGAGCAAGTGGCTCTTCAGGTTGTAGTATGTGTGCCGGTTAGATTAGTGTCCGAGAGCCCCTTCTACCCACCTTCCACCTGTCACCTGGATCGGTCTGTTGCATGGAGGTGGCGGTGCACAGTCTCGTTTGCTTGAGAAAACGAGTGCGGTTTCCCAGACCTTTATCCTCCCTCTCGGTCACCCTGGCCCTAAAACATGAGCACCTCAGGAAACGGTCGTGTCCTTGTGCTCAGATTGTCTGCTCGCTCTCTCTTTTTGCCCCTTGTGAGCAGAGGGAATCTTTGAGGGACAGGTTGAGTGCAGGGATGCTCTCAACTCTTTGTCTTGTATTTCTTGAGAAGGGTTCTCTGTAGAGAACTGGTCCTGTTATATGGGGAAATCCTCAAGCGAAGAAGAGGGATGCTTCCGCAGTGGAGATTGTGATCTAATAAACCAGGAGAGCGGGGGGGCGGAGGGAAGGGAACAAGTTGAGCACAGGAGCTGACATACCATATGCTGAGGGTGGATTTTGTTGTTGTTGATTGTTTTTTTTTTGTTTGGTTTGGTTTTCGGGGGTTTTTTTGTTGTGGTGGGTTTTTTTTCTTGGGGTTTTTTTTTTTTTTTTTTTTTTTTTTTTTTTTTTTTTTTTTACTTGGGGCAGGATTAGCACAGAGGGAGAGAGAGAAGAAACATCAAAGCTTCTGCAATGAAGAAAGGTTAACGTACTTGACTTATAGTTGACTGCTATCCAGAACAATTTTCCATTCTCATTCGGGCTTGCCGGTCTGAAATTAACATAGTGTTTGTGAGTCTAAGCCTTGACTGGAGGCCTTGTTTCCTTTCTCTGTCTGGACAAGCCAAGGTGGGTAGAATTGCACTGTGTGACGGTTCCGTGTGCTGGCCAGATTCATGGGAATGAACCGGAGTGTCTCTGGGGCCCCACGTCAGAATCGTTTGTCCTCTTTGAAACTATCTGGGATACCTTGACCACTGGGAACTAATGGAGTCCTCTTTTCATAGAGCTCAGTGCAGATCACATTTGAAGAGGGTCCTCGGTTACCACCAGCCACAAATATAAGTCGCGTGACATGCAAGGGACAGTCGGACCACAGCATGGTAAGGCTTTGCTGTTCTGAATTGTACGGTATGGGGTTTCTCCGTCGACTGACGGTGTGTTCTATGGAGATTGCCGAGGCCTGCGCAATGGGGATGGTGGAACCGGGGAAGTTTTGGGCAAGGTCTGGTGTTGAGTTCGGAGGCCGGTCGACGGGCTCGTAAGATTGCAGCTCTGGGGCTGTGCGTCGGTGAGCTCTGGGAGAGCCCCGGCAGGAGACGTGTTGGTGGAGCTGGGGCGTATGGATGCTGAGCCCAGATATCAGGGTCCTCCAGTGGAGAGGAGAAGAGAGCTCCTGTCACCGATAAGTCTTTACTGCCTCACGTACAGAGTCTGAAATGGCAAGTTCGCAGTGTGGAACTGGGTCTGGGAGTAAGCCTGATGTTTCTTTCCTGCCACGATGCGTCAACCTTGCCTATTGCTTTTAGGCGTTTTGCCATCGCACGGCTGTCTCTCGCTGAGGATATAAACTCGTTTCCTTCCTTTTCTCTCTAGGTGCTATGCTGCCATCTGTCAGCTGAAGCTGTGAAATTCCCTGTCTCTGTTACTCAGCAGTCCCCAGTTGCTGTTTCTGTGGACACCTATCATGTCGCTTTGGCTGTGCTGCAGGCTCAGGTAACAGTTGTAAAAAGTTAGCCATTGAACTTGTTCTTTCACCCGGCCCCGCGCCCATCGAGGAAGGAGGCCTCATCGTGCCGGAAGAAGCAGCGTGCTGTCACTAACGTTTGGCGGGGTGGCAAATATTCCTGATCTGCGTGCTGAGTCCCGTTTTCTGAGGCTTGTTCTGCAGATCCTGGCTATGTCACGTAGCCGTAACAAAACCCAGAGAGATTTGAGGCATGGCAGCGTTCTATACTGTGTTTTTAAGCGGGTGTTTAGGAAGCGAAAGGTCCACAGAGTTCAATTACCCTCGCAGTGTGATGGATAGGGAAAGACGCGTCCTGTGCATATGTACAATTATGGTGTTGTCCTGCTTGTTGGCATGCAAAACAAATCCACGGTGAGGAGTGGTTTGCTTGTCAGTGCTCCCCTTAATACATTCACAAGAGTGTGCTACAGATTTTTTTTCTGTGTTGAATATTGGAGATGCTTCTCCCAGAACAGAAGCTCTGTGAAATTGCAATGGTAACTCCGTAGTCACTTTCTGGCTGGATTTGCTTCTCTGGAGTGTGATTTTTGCTCCCATCGTGAAGAAGGGCTTGACGCTGGGCACGGTATCTTGCTTGGAGACTGCGCGCTCGTTTGCGCTATAGGGAGACATGGCGAAATTGGAAGTAACTCTGTGGTAGCAGAAGCCAATCCCTTGCTATTGCAGGTATTGCAGTTGGAAGGTTGTTCGAGAACCCCTTTGCTCTCAGAAGCTTTATTAACATTTTCAACCTACATTTATCAGATCATCCCGGTTTGGTTTTGTGCCCCCGTTCCGCGGTCATTTAAAGCTCCTCTCTCTCTCTCTCCTCTGCATTTAGCACGCCGGCTGCCGATCTAGTTGTGGGCGGCAACCGCGGTTGCTTTTCATCTTTGTGTAGTTTCTGGGAGCCAGGTGGCCTTTGTCACGTCTCATCAAATCGCTCCTCTACTCGCCGGCATTTTCTAGGTCTCCTTGTCTGCACCTGCTGAAGTTCTGGGTTGATCGTTCTTGTAGAGAATTGCGTGTGGTATTCTAATTGAGGTCTTGCTGCTGCATTGTGAAACGCTGGTAAGGTTACCATATGCCCGTTGGTTGGAATACTTCAAGTACTGTATTCCCAAACGTGTCTTGCTTCTTTTATGCACCTCTTGTTGGTTACTTACCTAGCTACCGTGTCCCAGATCTGTCGCTTTTGACTGATGACCTTCAGTGCTCATGGTAAATAAATGTCAGTCTGTCAGTTACTTTGGAACGATGTTAAATTTCATTCCCCTGTTGTTACCAGAGATATTGGGTCAGGAGTTCCTCCTGTGTAGTTCTGTTTCTGTCTGTTGCATTAATGATGCCTTTCAGGTGTATGGGTGTGCAACTTTTCAACTGAACTACGGGATGGTGTACAGTCTGGTTTGTTGTTGCAGACTATTGGTGACCTGGATGAGTTTTCAATCTAAGGGTGATCTCCTAGAGACGCTTTGCTAACTTACAAATGGCCGTGCTTAGGTTTGGCAATGGTTAATTGATGTAGCTCAGTAAATATCCCGTGTCAGTGCCCAACTCGCTCTTTCGGATTGTCCTGCAGGCTTTTTCTTCAGCCAAAGAAATAACCTATCGTTCTTCCCTCTGATGGCGCTTGGGCATCCAAAGGCAGCGAGGAAGCCAGATCTCTCTACGGAGCGATGAGGCTTCTGCAGCTGCTTCTTCCAGTAGGCCCGGGACCACTTGTGTTCTTACATTCTGTCTCTTACTGTTGCACTGGTGTGAGGGCCTTTCAGTTGCTGAATTTGAAACGGGGCAAAAAGCACCTAATGGAAACAGAAACTGTTCCTGACTATGGGTATTTGTTCTGGGCCAGGTGGAGATCCGCTTGGAGGAGATACAGAACGAAGGTCTCCTGGTGTCGTGGACGTTCAAGGACAGACCAGACTTGAACCTTTCGGTTCTTCCAAGACTTCAACTTCGCGAGGTGAGCGGCAAACAGTGGGAGGCTGGACTCGAGCGGAAGAAGGGTGGGAGGGGCAGAAACAGCGCCGAGCCAAGAGGAAGTCTGCTGCAGAGGGGAGAGGTTGGCAACTTGTTGTCGTGGCCCTTTAGGGCGAGGGAGGGGATTCTTTCGCCCTGGAATCAATGCTAGCTCAGCTCTGTCAAAACAGCACATCCTCAAGAGGGCCGAAGCAGTACCGGTGTCTGTTGTCTGAGTTTGGTGTAACAGCTGAACAGGAGTCTGCGTAGCAAAAAAGGCTTTCTGTCTATGTAGGTCCTCCTGCCGTTGTCCAATGTAGAGCTGCAAAATGAGCTGGGTTGGTTCGTGTTTTTTTTTGTTTTTGGTTTGTTTGTTTGTTTTGTTTTGTTTGTTTGTGGGTTTTTTTGAGAGGTTAGTGTGCGGAACCCCTGGGTATTAGAGGTTTAATGAGCTGAACGTGGGAATGCTTGTGCTTCTGTGATCCGGATTTGGTTGATTTGTTTGTTCTATTGACACCCTTGTTGCTTTATCCTGAATAGATGTAGGAATTTGGCTGTTCTCCTGAAAGTGCGGTAGTACCATCTCACGAGGTGGTAAGGATGTGGCAAACTGTAAAAGCTGTATTGTCAAAATTTGCAACGGGTAGACTACAGGTGTAGAGGCTTAGTTTGTCTCATTTAGACAACTTACATTTGCCTGCAGCTGTTACATGGAAGCTTTAAGCACTGGGGAGAGCGAGTACAGGATATGGGAAGGGTACCTGGGGGGTTATTACCAGGACAATGACTGTGTAGCGTCTTAGAGGCTCGAGAGGCAGTTGGAGCTGTGTAAGGAGAAAATGTGTCTGCCTCGTTATGACTTTCCTGCATTTCCTCTTGATTTGCGGAGAGAAGAACGAAGGGAGAGCGGATCTATCCACCATAAAGGATCTGATCGAGGATACCATTGTCAGCACGCAGCCAGCCATGATGGTGAATCTGAAGGCCTGCACCGCTGGAGCCGGTGCGGTAAGGCTCTCTCCTCTTGTCATTCTTGTGCCTCAAACGCTGTGCCCCGGGGCGCTTTGGAGGGCTGAGGCTCAGGCAGGAATCCAAGGGTTGAGACTCACTTCTGGGCGACAGCTGCGTCCTGGCCTGCGCTGTCACAGGAGTTGGGGTGCTGTGGCATGGGGAGTAGGGATAATTAGGAACCGCTCTGAAGGGCAGCTCTGTTTGTACTTTGTTTCCTGAACGTTGAGTGCCGGTTGTGTTGAGGTGGAGCTGGACTGCCTGAGACGCATCTCCGTTCGGGCAGTCTCTCTCTTGCTCTGAACACCAAGGCTCCGTCCAGGGCAGCCTTTACAGGCATGGAACGGTCCATGGTTTGTCGTCTTCAGCTGTCCGTCTGGCAGCCAGCAAGCTTGTTGTTGTCTGTCTCTTTTCCCGTCTGCCTTAAATTTCCCATCTGAAATAACACAGGGGCCCATCGGAGGTCGATAGCTTGGGGAACCTGCAGCATGTCTTGATGGCTCTGTGGGTATTCCCCTATGTCGGTGTGAGGAGCTACTTAGTAGATGCAAGGACGAACATCATGCGTCTTGCTGCTGTCTGCTGGCGAGTGAACGATAAAGGCATCGGTCTCGCTCTCGTCATTCCTCAGGTACCCAGCAATAAGTTGACTCGAGAGTCCCCGTCCGGAGTAGCAGCAGCCCCTCTGGGTTCTAAGCTGTTGCTCCGGAATCTTCGAGTGCTGAACTTGGGCTGCCAGGGGAAGGGAGGTAAGCGTGAAAACATTGCTGATCTGCAGGGGCGAGCGCGCAGGTGGCGAGATTGGAGCGAGTGGATGTTTTGGGTGGGTTTGAATGGAAAAGAGGGGCATGCATCCGCCGAGCCGCTGCCTTGCGTTGATGAGCGCACGCGTGCGCTCTGTCCCTCTGTTGCAGGAGTTGGGGAGATACGCTGCGTGGCAGAGCTAGACAGCCCCCCGCAGCAGAAGCAGACGAGGCCGGTGACAGCTGGCAGTGCCGGTGCTGCAGCGCAGATGGAGTGGAATGAGGAGCTCTTTCTGTAAGTGTCTGCCCTCCTTCTGGTTGGCACGGCGGAGGCAGACCGGTGTGGTCTCTGGGTGTCATTACCGTGCCGCAGTAACTGATGCGGATGGCGCAGAGGTGGAGTCTGCACCGCAGTGTGTTTGCGCCGCCCGCATGCCGGGCTACCGATTCCACTAATTTGCCCCAGCTTGCATACGTATTTCCCACTCCCCTGGATGCTCTGTGTTTTAACTGGATGGGCCCAAGCGCCGATCGCGGGCGGCATGTGGGAGCGGCAGCTGCAGAAGGCCTGGCGCGTAAACCTCAGCTTTCTGGACAGATTGCCCTCTCAACTTCCCATGTCAGCCTACACAGCCCTGCAGAGGACACGAACCGGAGTTCTCCTCTTCTGTGTAGTTTGCTGCCCTTTGTCGTGTCCTCCAAAGTAGCGCGCACGTAGTGGGGCTTTGGAAAAGGTGATGAGGCGTGTGAGATTTGAGGGAGGGAAGATACGGAATGGGGTCATTTGCTCCATGGCCATTTTGCAAAGATTGCCTAATACCAGCTCGTCTTTTTCTGTTTCAACAGGGAGTTGGGACCTAGAAGTAAAGAACTGAAGCTACAGGTGCTGGGGAACAGTGACGGAGGGGGAAGTGAGTCCAGGCAGCTGTAAGATGGATTGTAAGATGGGGAGACAAAAATGCCTAAGGGACTTCCTGTGCTTTGAGCCTGTGGTAGTTCTGTGTCAGTATAATGTGCGATGAACTCTGCAAAGGATTTTTCATATCCAACTTTATGTGAGCCTCTGACTGCGTGAAGTAACTCTGGAGTCTGTTGTTCTTAGTGAAACGCTCTTACTCTGACCTTTTTGGTACCCGGGAGGTTCCCGTGGCCCGCCCGTCTCCACTCTGAAGCAGGGAGAGGGATGCGGGGATTCACCCCCATGTATTGGAAGAACGTTGCAGAAGGCTCTTAACTCTGCTCGTTTGTACTCGGTCGGGGACTAATCGACTAAGTGAGTCAATTTCTGGATTGGTAAAGAGGAGCGGAGGAGCGCTGCCCGCCCCCTCCCCGCCTCGAACCTGGGAGCTACCGGAGTCGTGGGGATCTGCTTCGTTGGCCCACAGGGCTGCTTCCCAAAAGCAGGGGTTGCCTGGGAGGCATCGGAGGTGCTGAGGTCACATGGTGTGTTTTGTTTTCCTGTACCTTCTCGCAGGTGTGCTGCTGGCACATGCCACGCTTTTGCTTGATTCTTTGGGCAGACGGCCATCTGCGAGACAGGTCTGCTCGCTGGCCCCAGGAGCTGGGCAGTCACTGGCGGCTGAAGCTACCATTGTATTGGAGGTGAGCTCACAACACCATAAGCTCGGCACAAATGCGTGCTCGGGAAGCATTCACAATGTGAGCCGCTAGCTGGAGACAAGCGTGATCGGGCCTGGGCTCGTCACAGGGGACTGGCAGACCCTTAGGCCGAGGAGGGGTGTCGCCTGGCCCTCGGTCCCTGAGCCTCCCTCCATTCAACTGACATTGTAGCGGGGACGGCTCCTCAGTACCCAAGGCAGTAGCTTTTGTCACCCATGTGCCTGCCTTTCCATCTGGGAGGAGGAGGAGGAGAACCTCTCTGAGCTGCGCTTTACTCTTTGTAGCTGCTATTCCAGGAGTCTCCTGCATCTTTGAATGCTCAGCACGCCACATCTCTGCGAACCAGCATCACCCCCACTAAGAAGGTGGAGATGGACCGGACCATCATGCCCGACGGCACCATCGTGACTACTGTCACCACGATTCAGTCCCGGCCCAAGGCAGACTGCAAACTGGGTGAGGCTGCCCCGCGACAGGCGTCTTGTATGGGTGGCTGCTATGGGGGTGCAGACTCGGCCGCAACATTCCCGAGGCCGCTCACACGGGTAGTAGCAAAACTGTTTAGCCATCGTATGTTGCGGTTGTTGCAGACTTGCACCTTGCACGGCGTTTTTGGCTTCCGGGTCGGAATGCGGGCATCGTCGCCATTCCCTTAGCGTCTTGTGGCTGGCTGTGTAGCCTTGGGGGAGGGAATTGATGCAGCCCTGCGTTTGGGGGGACATCAGAGAGGGACGAGCCTCTCTGATGCCCTTTGGTGGCGGGAGGTCCCGACTCTAACATGTATGCTGCCGCGGAACCTCTGCGGGATATCGGGCTAAGTGTTTTGCCGCTCTTGCTCTATTTTCTTCACTGCTAAAGAAGTTACGCTGTATTGTACTGAATGCGGAGCCAAAAGCATGTTGACCTTGCTTACTAGCGGTTGTTGCTGTTTGCATTCTGACATCCTGATGAATGTGGTGGTGGATATTCCGTGAGGTGGGGCTGGGAAACAGCATGAACGGGGTCTCGCGACGGGGCTGCTTCAGGCGTCTCTTTCCAATAGGCTTCTTAGTATTTCATTGCCGCAAAGCCTCATGGAGCCAGCCTCTGCAGGCTCTCCGTAGGCGCTTGAGGCTTTTTGGGGTGCGCGTAGGGGGCCACGATACAGTAATGAAGTTGCCTAAGCTTCGTCTCCGCTTACTGGTGTCTCTGTGTCTCTGCCTCTCTTTCACCACGAAGATTCACCATCAAGGTCACCTTCCAAGGTGGAAGTGACTGAAAAGAAGACAACGGTGCTTTTGGAGAGCGGCTGCCCTCGTGGCCCCTTGCCCAGCGGTAGCCGTAAGTGCTTGGACATCTGAGGCTCTTACCAGAGCGACTGTGTTCCTTAGCCTTTCTTGGAGAGTGGCAGTCTGAATGTGGGTCACTGAACTCGTCTGCACTTGCTGCAGAAGAGAATGTCCAAGTGCCCAAGTGAAGGCGGGGGTGGAGCGTTGGGAGCAGGTGGGGGCAGGTAAAAGAAATTCCACTCTGGCTATCCAGTCTGTGACTCTGGGTGTTTCCTGGCTTGACAAGAACATTCCAGGCTATCTGGACCCAAAGAGCTTTGCTCACCCTGTACTTGGGGCTCCGATTGTCTCTGGGACAGAGCGCTGCTGCTGTTTTGACGATTTGCAGCCAAGGCTGCCCAAACTCTTGGGAGTCTTTGGAAGTCGTCTTTGAGCGGGAAGGGTATTTTAATGATATGCCCGGTGGGAAATGAAACTTTTCAGGTGCCTAAAAGAGCCGAGAGCTATATGGAGGCTCCTTCCTTTGGTTTATTCCAGCAAGTCCGTAATAAATTCTGTTCTCTACCTTTGTGCACATGTAGTTGCCTGTTACAAGCATCGCGGTCAGCAAGCGACCTCTTGCCCATGCTGAAGGCTGCTACTTCAAGCATTGGTATCTTTCTTGTGCTCAGGGGATAGCCATATGCCCAATGGCTTGGATCCGGTGGCCGAGACGGCGATCAGGCAGCTAACTGAGACGAATAACAAGCCTGCCAAGAAGACCCCGACAAAACGTAGCACGCTGATCATCTCGGGAGTTTCCAAGGTCTCTCATAGTTAGGGGGCTCCATTTCCAATCTGGGAGGTTGTTTCTAGGGATGCGTGCATGAAACCACCCTGTCCCGTAAGGACCAGTGTAGGAAGGTTCCAGCACAGACGACTCGCTCGGCAGAACCCTTTCGCTGCTTTCTTGCAGCTTGTTGCTGCTTCCTAGTGAGTGTCAAAGGTACCTCGCCAGTCTGCAGGGCAGCTGCCGGCGGGAGTTCACAAAGGGCAGCCACAGAAAGGGAGGCTGCTGCTGTAGCCGGTTGGGAACCTGGTGGAGAATCTAAGGAGTTCTCCTTGGACTTGCCTGCGGGAGTGAGGGAGGTGCTGCAGAATGCTTTGGAATTGGCCACGTTCCAGTATGTTTCAGCAAAAGAGTGACAATTGTGTGTCGGTGCTGTCTAGCACTGACGATCGGAACTGGAGCATCCGTGTGTAGGTGTGGATGGAAGAAGGGAGATGAATGTGATCCTTTAGAGCCTGTCTTCCTGTCTGTCTGACCTTCTAACCCCCCTCCAGGTACCTATCGCTCAAGATGAAATGGCACTTTCCCTGGGTTATGCTGCATCCCTGGAGGCCACGACGTACGGGGATTCTGCGGCAGAGGGTGCAGCTGACCGGATGCACGATTCTACCGAATCGTCACAGCTGCTGGAAGCGTCGCCGTCGGAACAAAGGGCCAGTCAGGAGCTGGACGAGACAACGCGATCGGACATCTCTGAGAGACCGTCGGTGGAAGATGTTGAGTCTGAAACTGGCTCCACGGGAGCCCTTGAGACCAGGAGCTTGAAAGATCACAAAGGTAAGGATGAACCGTTAGATGGTAGCTAGCGTTAGCCTGTTGTACTTGAGGACGAAGTGACGTCTGAGTTCCCCGCCCAAGCGTGGGGGCTGCAGCCAGCTTTCGGCATGGCGAAGAGCGGCTTCTGCTGGAGCCTGGAAGAGCCTGCCTCTCTCCCGTGCTTCCCGCTGGGGCGGTTCCAAGCTCCTCTATTTGCAGGTGTCTGATTCCCGTGGCCTTTTTTCGGTTTCTGCGCTCTCTCAGAACCCTGCACAGCTTGCATGTTCCAGAGAACCCATTTTCACTCCCTGGCCTCTGGGTCCGCAGATCAGGCGCGCATCCGTAAATAATGATTCCTCCTCTGAATTCGGCTGCCTCTGGCACAGAAACGGAGGCCTCCCGACAATGTGGATTGTACGGGCCTCCCTCTTTCTCCGTTAGCATCAAAGTAGCTAGCACCTCTGACCTGTTGTACCGTAGGGTGTCCACACAAACTCTCTGCTTTTTTTAAATGACGGAGCGGGCCTGCCCCGACCGAGCTGCTGTTCTGGACTGTCCAGGCTTGTGTCAGTTAGGCGGATGGCACACCTTGGATTTGTGTGCTTGTAGCCATGATGGTTTCAGCGAGCTACAAACTTCACATAACAAGCGCAAGCCAAGATCTCGACTGCTCAGAATACGAGAGTGGGACAAGTTTTGGGGGGTTGTACCCTGGTACAACCAGGTACAGTTTGAACTGTGGTGGCCCCTTGTTTGCACGTCAGTGGGTAGAAAGGTGTGTGGCCCAGATTCTTGAGAGACCTGGCAGGCGGGGAAGAGAAGGAAGAAAACAGAAAGCAAGCGCTCCCTCTGTAGGAAATACCGTTGTAGCTTTGTATGGCGTGCGGGTTTTGGATATGCCTTTTCGCACCCGTTTGGGGCCGACGGCGATCGGCGTCTCCATCCTGTCCCTCCCTCGTGAGCTGTCCGGAGCCATTGTTGTTATTTGTCTCCAGGCTTGGGCATCTCGTGAAACTGCGGGCAGTTGTTCCGGGGGCTTGATGACTGGCTAATCCAGGCGCCCTTGAGATGGGCTAATCTGAGAGGCCTTTTCCCTGTTGTGTGTTCCTCCCGGTGTTTCCACATGCAGACATTCTCACTTGTTTCCCATTCATACGAGTCTTAGTTTTCTATTACAATTCCGCACGCTTCCACTGAAGGGAGGAGGACATTGTTGCGTAAAAGGACGTTTACGCAGAGGGGACACGTGATGGCGTGCTTAGTGAAGCAGCTGCTTGGTGTTGCAGTCTGTCCTGAACGTAGACTTTGCGTTGCGGTTGGGAGCTGGGATTCGCCGACTTGCCGTGCGCTTCTGCTGCTTGGGGTGGAAGAGGTCTTTGCTGCTCATCCGAGAGCAGCTGGGTGCATTACTGCCCCCGAGCCTCACCAGGGCAGGATACTATCGTGGTTTCTGTCTCCTTCCTTTCTGTGTCTGCAGTTAGCTTTCTTCGGAGTGGTACCAAGCTCATCTTCCGGAGAAGGAGCAAGCAGAAGGAAGCGGGCCTGAGCCAGTCACACGATGACTTGTCCAATGTCGCCGCCAACTCCGCCGCCAGGAAGAAAGCCAGCAGCTTCTCCCGCCGCCTCATCAAGCGCTTCTCCTTCAAGTCTAAACCCAAACCCAAAGCTAGCGACAGCACAACAGCAGGTGAGAATTGAAGGAGGGAGAAGCCCATCGGAAAGATTGTGCAGAGATCCTTTTCTAGTCTCTTGTCTTCCCACTCCGTGGTATCTGTGACCTGCAGTTCAGTTCCTTCCAACCTTGGCTGAGGGAAGACACCCCAGTGCTTTACGCCATTTGGGGAGCGGAGGTGGCAAACCTGGGGCTTAGGCTGCTCGTCTGCCTTGGCTTAGCCTTCTCTGACTGTCGTACCCCACCACGCTCTCCCAGAAAATCCAGGTGGCATGTTAATCCCTGTGGGGGTCCCAGGAGCTGCGGAAGCGACTCTGCCTGCGTAGCTGTCTGGCATCGCCGGGTGCATCCCGGAAAGGGTGGGTGGGGGCGGCCTCTCAAGTGGCAACCCTCGGAGTTAAAGCTCGAGAAACTACCGGGTTAGCTACGTTGCCAAGAAGTGTGGGATGTAGCTTTGCTCAGCTCTTCTAGCGACGGAGAATGACGCGGTCACTGGCCGTCTAAAAGCTCTCATTGCTTCTGCTTGGCGCAGAGGCTGTAACCTGATGGCAGGGTGGGGCGATGTGTTCCTGGGCTGTGAGCTGTCGGGAGAAGAAGCTGCCGTTCTCCACCTGGCTCCGCCGTTGGAACAGTCTCTGGTTTGAACGGTGCTGAGGGATGCGTGCTTTCTGTGCTATGCTGATGAAGGAAGGAGTCTCTAAGAAGGAGGAAATTTTAACCACTGGGCGAGCTTTTGTAAAAGCCCGGGCCCTTGCAAGAGCGTCTGGTTGGTGCTGCCACCCTGTGATGCAGCCCTCCTTCTGCAACTGTCGTCTTGAACGGGGAAGGGGCCGTGCTGCATGCGTGCACCAGCTGTCGTATGAGCAGAACCCTTTCCCTCGGGGGCGGTTGGGGGCGCGTTGCCAGCAGGGCGCCAGGCCATCTTCCAGACCTGTGGAGCGCCTGGCCTCTTGCGCTCTGGCGGTTCTCACGCTGAGGGCTGGCACCACCCTGGAAATGGACGGCGAGGAATGTGGCGATGCTAGTGAAAGGGCAGTCTGACGTGGGGCCTGAAGCCACATGGCGGAAAGAGGCAAGAGTTTACGTGCTTTCACTGACGAAAGGGTTTCCTGTAGTACAAGGAGCCTTTCTTGATTGCATCCGATATTTCCTTTCTTCTAGCAAACCCGATCCACCACGTTCAAACAGTGGGCATTTCCGCAGTGGGTATTTGCAGAGGGAGAGGCGCGCGGGGGAAAATTGACTCCTTGCGCAGGAGGAGACCGCCCTTCTAGACGAACGGTTTTCCAGTCTTCTGACGCGTGTACATTGCGAATATCCCCAGAGGCCCCGTTTGGATAGCGTAACGGTGCTCTTTGGAGAAACACTCGTGCCCTGTCAGCGCACCTGGTTTGAATGGAAGCTCCTGCTTTCCTGTGAGTTGTAGAGGTAAGGAGATGGGGCAAAGGGGAGGAAAAACCTCCCTGAAGAGCGATCGCCTAGGCCTGACTGGATTTGCTAGCTCTGCTCTCCTGTTACAGTACCTCCCGAGGTGGGGGGTGCCGCCCTGCCTTATGCAGGATGCGACCAACTGAAAAAGCAGTTATTCTCTTGACATTGCGTATAAAACAACATGTCGTGTTCTTCAGAAGGACAAATCCTGGCTTACCGATACGGCCGTCGCGTGCCATTTCTAAAGACCGGAATGTGTTCGGTATGCCGCTGTGAAAGGATTTACAGGCGGGAATTTCAGGGCGTCTCTTGAAAGTGTCTGGAGGTAGGGAAGGCCAGAGTCGCCCGGGGCGTGGATTGAAAGTGCTGGTGCGTGCCAGCAGGAGGGACTCTCTTTCCTGTTTTTCCTGCCGATTCCCCATGAGGTTGGGCACGTGTGAGAAATCGGACTGGTCCAGCTGGCCGACCAGGAACCTCTTCTCCATCTGTTTGTTTTGGTCCGGGAGTCTTTCTGTCATCCCCGAGCTCTTTCGTGTCTTTCATCCTTTGTTTCTTTCCTCATCCACACGGTACTGTGGCTTTGTTCGCAGCTCCGTGTGCTACAGATGTCGGAGCGCTCGCTGTTTCTCGCTGAAAATTGTTTTCCTCAATGCGAGTGACCGGTTCCTGCTGCAGCTCTGGTGGAAGTTGGCAGTCTGTGGGCTCGCCTCTAGCGATCTGGCCGCCAGTTTGACGTAGCCTTCCTTTGCTGGGTCGGTGCAGCATCACACGCGGCGCTGTCCTTTGCAGGCACGCCCTTGCTCCCAGAGCCTCGGGGTTTGGTTCCAGTTCAGCATTCTCTCTTGCACTGTCCCCTATACGACTCTGCCTCTGTCGCTAACAGTACTTGACGCTCCGTTTTTGGTTTTTGTTTCTTCTTTTTTAATACCATGTCAAGGTTGCTCTGAACGGAGAGTGCTGGCTGAGCCCAGACAGCACCGCTTCTCTAGTGGGATGGCTGCGAAACCTTGCTTTAGAAATGCTGGTCTGAAAGGAAGGGAATTTTCAGAAGAGCCAGCAACTCTTCAGTTCTGGGTTTATCACAGGACCTTCTGCGAGTCTCGTTTAATAGGTCTGTATTCTTTTCTTTAAATTGCTAGAGCAGCTCGCGCTGTCTCGGTGCGGAGCAGCTGGAGGCGAATGCCTGAGGCTCCCACCAGCGCTTCTGAAGCGTGAATCTGGGGCTCGTGAACACGAGGAGGGCCACGAGGGCTAGCGAGCGTTGTTCTTGGCGCTGTAGACTGGAGGCGGAAAAGACGAGTGAGGTTCGTGTCCGACAAACACGTACCTAGATTTTGACCGGAATGTTTTGGTCTGGCTCGGAGGAAGGAGGCGGTAGGAAAGCTAGGAGTAAAACCCAAACTCGAGTTCTTCACCGGCCTTGGGGACTGAGGAACCCTTTCTAGCCGTGTTAAATGGGCAATTCCTGCCATACGTCCATGGGCTTTCCTGAATTTGTTCCCAGTTTGTTGACTCCAGGCTATGCCTGCTGATGAATCGCAGTGGAGGTACTGTTTTTGATTTTGAGCTTTGACCTGGCAGAAGACTCATCTGGAAATCTCCTGCGCTGCAGTCTGTGGAATGAACGGCACGTGGGACGCGCGACGGTTGGTGTGTATTTTCCCTTGAATTTTTGGCAGTGCTCTTTATCACAGGCAATAAATTGCTGTGAAAGTTTGTATCTGCTTAGATAACTTGCAAAGGAAAGGGCTATTGTCAAGTGCTGAGAGAACGCATCTCCAAGCATCGATTCCCGCACCCGCTTCTGTTTCCTAGCGGAGATGTTCTTTCTGCCATTTCGTTGCTTCTCGAAGTCGTACAGCGTAGGACTGAGATTGTAACCTTTTATCTTCTTCTAAATGTTCTCGGTAAGCGCATGCTGTTTTTCAGGGTGTTTGGGTAAGCTGCTGTTTGAAGGACAGAGGCAAGGGGGAATGGCTCAGCTGTGTGCACCGGGAGTTCTTTAGTTCTGATACGCTCCTCATAAACATGTTGATCCTTTCTCTTCGTGTCCGCACATGGCTTCCTTTCTCGCACGCACAGTTGTTTTCATCCCCCAAGCAGTAGGCGGCTGGTTTTGTTAGTCCCGGCTATGCAAGCACGGGTGACTCTCCCGGCTTCCCGAAGCCAAGAACGGTAACGAATCCGCCTCGTGCAGGAGGCGTGATTATTGGCGTGAGAAACAATTCTTCTATCCTAATCTTCTTGGAAGGACAGGGAAGGTCACGTTGGTCTTTGGCCTCCAGAAACTGTAAAGAGAGTCCCAGGGAGTTTCCCCCTGTAGAACTGCTGCTTGAAGAAATCTCTTTTGTATTTAATCCCTGCTTGTGCTTCTGGCTTTAGGACAGAAGAAATGCTATTTGAAATCTGCTTTTCCCTGTTTAACTTCTTCCGGATACCTATGCCCGCACCTCGGTGCCATTGCAGGGTTTGTGGCATTTCGTAATGCCCGGGACCGCAGATCAACCCCGGTGCACGGTGCGGGCCACCATCTGACTTTTTAGACTCGAATGATCTGCAGTTGCCAGGTTGCTGTCTCAGGGTAGGGTCAGTATTTGCACCTTGTGAAATTGGTCCTCGACCAAGTATGTGGGGGAAGAGGAGCGGCAGAGCGGCGGGCTTGAACGCACGGAGGCTTCTGAAGGAGTTCAACCTGCTTATGAAGGCCTGCGTTCCAAATGCTGCGTTTCACTGCCGGCTACGCAAGTAGAAACGGTGACTGGTAAATGAAGCCAAAGTATACATTTTGGTTTGTTTGTTTGTTCGGTTTTTTGCTATTTTGGCTGAACAGAGTTACTAGAACTTACCTATGCTGTGTATTTGTACTTCTCTGAAGAGAACAGATTTCTCTAGCTGTAAGTATATTTCTGTCTGGATACATATTCTCCTCATGGAGGTTCCTTAAGAGCCTCCCTGTCGAAAAAGCCCTCGGCATCGGCCCGCGAGGGGTATCCTCTCGAGGCGAGAGAAAGCAGGCACGGGAAGAAATGGAGGGAACCACAAAACCTCAGTTTCCTGGGGGTGCTGTAGGCTTTAGCGTGACGGATGTCTGACTGAGGCCCGATACTTGCAGAGGGCGCTCAAAGGCCGCGTATTCGAGGGCAGAGGGATTGCACACATGCACGTGTGTTTGCATCACTTGTAATTAGAGCGTGCTCTGCGAATGCCTGTACTGGTCACGCTGCCGAGTGACTGAGGACAGGGCCGATCGGTCTGTCGGGAGAGCGGCCTTACCAGCTTCTAGTCAGAAAACAGTTCAGCGGAGGGGAGCGTAATGAAAACTTCTTCAAACCGATAAAAGAGGGCCACGGGCATGCGCTGTTTCTAGACTAGAACTGGGCGCACGGCAAAGCGTACACTTACAAATGTTTTCGTTCCGCTTTTTTGTCTTCAGCGATGCCGCTTCCTTCCTGCGACGGCTTCTCTCGGTTCACTGTTTGCTAAACCTACAGAGAAGTCATTTCTGGGTAGCTGGCGAGATGCTTGAATGTTGGGTGGCTGGCGTGTGCGTGTTTTGGGGTCTTTTGCGTTGGTCTCCCCTCCCTCCTTCCCTCCTTCCCTCCCCCGGGTCATGGTGAGCGTCATGGTAGAGTAACGATCCCAGTGGTGGTCAAACTTCTGGAAAAGGTCTTTGTGTACTTGCGACATCGCAGCTCCTTCTATAGGCATGACTGCTCCACGCTACCTTTCCTTGCTCGTACAGGTACTGGACCAAATACCCATGCTGAATTTGAATTAGCGCCCCTCCTTGTGCGTGCTCTTTTGTACTTTGATGCCTTCTCTCTGGGTGGATTATTTTAACCCCAGATTGTTTAGAGGAAAAAAAATAGGAACTGCGTAGCTATTTAAGAGATGAGAATAAAATGACTTAATTCGGACTAAATGAACGAAGTTCTTGCACCTTTGTAAATGTTGAAGAAGAATTCCATTGCTGTGTAACGGCGGAACCTGTTAACTTATTAAACCACATGGAAATCAAAACCTGACCCCGAGTCTGACTTCACGCCTGCTGGAGTGCAGTGAGTTGGGCTTTGGCGTTCTAGAAGTTCAGGAAGGTAGTTGATTTGTAGTCCTCTTTTTTTGTAAGACTGTCATCTCTGAACAGCCCTTTTTGCCAAATGCAGATACAGGGGTTTACAGTTCGTAAGACCGCGGCAAGGGCTGTAGCCTTTGCGGTGCTTCTAGGAGTCAAGGGATTCCCAAGATGGCGACGTCAGCCCCGGAAGACGTGAGCAGCGGTGAAACCTTGGGCTGACCCTGGACATGCGGCAGTACCCTGGGAGGGTCGGTTAAGCTTCTCGGGGTGCCCTAGCGGAGACGGGAGAGCCCTGCCCTCTCCCTCATTAGCGCCCGCTTCGGCATTTTCCTCTCCCTTAGCCTGTCCTGCTTTCCCTTGTTTCTTGTCCTCGCTCTGTTGCAGGGCCTGCGGTTCCAGCTGCAAAGTCAAGGTAAGGCCAGAGGGGCGGTGGCTGGACATTTCCACCTCAGGAAGGGCTCATCCTGCGGGGAAGGAGGTGGTGTCAGGCCAACACCTTGGCCTTGCTGCCGGGGGGGGGG